CTTAACGGAGTCACCTGACCCTAAACATCCAGAAATAAAATAGGAAGTGATTGTGAATGGACTCTCAGCACTGGTTGATTGATGCATTCCGGAATTTCTGGTGTCATCAGAATTCTGAGATCAGACAGAGGTTCTGAGGTCATCCTGCACTGGCAGGTTGTCTGTGTTTTAAGTCTGAAATTATAGGCATTTTAAGAGTGTCAGGTTTGTGGCCCTAAAGTGAATTTGTTTCCCAGAGCCAGATCCCAGATTTTGGGAAACATTTATTTTAGAGCAAAGCAGTTCCTGTGATGTAGGAATCAGGATGTCTCCAGGAACAGGAATGTTAACCTGGAAGACAACAGCCCTGGTTTTTTAAAAGATTTTATTGGGGAATTGGGGATGGGGAACAGCCAAGTTGTTGTCCTTCAATCTTAGTTGTGGAGGACACAGCTCAGCTCCAAGTCCAGTCACCATCGGGCCGCCTGTTGGCAGCTCGCAGCCGCTTAGCTCAAGGTGCTGTGTTTAATCTTAGTTGTGGGTGGGCATAGCCCACCATCCCATGCGGGAGTCAAACCAGCAACCTTGTTACTACTCGTGCACGCTCTAATCACTTAGCCATCCGGCTGCCCAGAACAGCCCTGTGCTTACTTTTCTGACCAGAGCTTCAGAGTTGAGGCAAAAGAACACAGGAAGCAGCAGGGCCTTAAATGTGCTCTGTCAAGTTCTTGATCCCTCTGCACCGATTTGGAAATATTGCCATGTGCTGTAGCCACTACACCATGGTGTGACAGTGGAGGATTTGAGTCAGCTTTGAGAGGGGTGAACTGGGGTGGCCCCAGGGGTATGCTGCCCAGGGAAGGTCATTTTGTGGGAGAGCTTATGAGGGTGAGGTCTGGAGGTAAGGGGCAACCAGTCAGAGGGTGGGAATTCTGTCTCCACTATTTCTCATTGGCCCTCTGGCTAATCACTCTTTACAACACTGTGCTATTCTCACATGTACCCATGTGACATTATTGACTTATCCTGACCTCGCAGAATCCCAAAGCAATGGCTCCTGAAGGGTTTCCATGGTGATCTACTTCTGACTCTTGTAAGCTTTAAAGAAATTGGACCAGAGAGTTTCACTGACTTGTCAAGGGACTTGCAGTTTGTGACAGAGCCAGGAGGAAAACAACTGCAGTTAACTTTATCACAGGTAAGTCACCAAAAATATCTTATGAAAAGGACCTTTTGAGAAACTGTAACCCAATTAAAACTAAAATGAAAAGTCTTGCCTTCATGCCCTCTGTATTTCTTTTCCTGGGCTTTCTATGGATTTTCTCCTTGGAGATGTAATCAGTGTTAATAGGAAAAGCGATCAGTGATGAGTATTTTATGTTAATTTTAGTGAAAGAACAATGCCTTATCCTGTATGTCCTTTAATGTTAATCATTCAGAAAATTTATGTTATTGTGTAAACATCAAAAATTTGAGTCAATGAAAAGCTGTATGGTTTAGTCCCCGTGACCACTTCCAGTTTCATGTGCACAGGTGGTGCTACCCCTGCATGGTCCTTCCTTGGCCTCCCCGCTGAACCTTCCTGCTTCTCTACACTCTCCCCAGAGCAGCAGAATGAACACACCTCAGGTGAGCTCTTTATTCATTTCCCACTTTGCATTGTAATGCATTTATGAGGTTTATAAGGGTCCATATATTCAATGCAAAAGAAGTAGAAATAAAGCCAGTCTTCAGGGAAAATACAGGCTCAGCATTAGCTCTGATGTCTGCAGTTGACTCTTAGTAGTTAACCTTTGATTAGTATATTCCCTCTAATTGCCAGTTTGCTTACATTTCAGTTTAATCATAAGTGTACTTAGAATTATATTAAGTACTATTTCTGCATTTGTTGAAATAAAGACATAGCTATTACTTTAATCTGTAAATATCGTGAGTTGCAAAATGAATTTTCTAATATTCATTGTTGATTTCCTGTATACACACTACTTGCCGATGAGTTGGCTGAGATCTTTCTGTTTGTATTTGTAAAGAAGTATCTGTATCACAAGTTAGGTAAGCCTGTCATTTTCTTTTCTCATAGTCCCATCCAATTTAGGTGGTATGCATATATTAGCCCCATTAAAAGAATGTGACACTTTCAACTTTTTTTTTCTTTGTGTAATGTTTTTCCACCTGTGCTTTGTTAAAAATTACCTGTTTGTGGGCGATTGTTTTGTGAAGATTTTGGGTACCAATTCCATTTATTAAATATCATAGGTCTGTCTTGTGTTTTTCTCTCACCATGTATCTTTTCAAAGAGCAGAAGTGATTAATCAATCAAGTTTTCAAAATTTTTAATCTTCTTTTATTAGTTCTGCTTTTTTAGTTATATGTATAACTTTACTAAAGCAAGGTCACAAAGATTTTCTCTCCTGTTTTTGTAAATTTTATAATTACAGTCTGTGGTCTTTTGAGTTAACTTCTATGGTGTAATGTATAGATAAAGATTATTTACTTTGCTTATGCATGTTTGATGTTCCAACAACATTTGTTGAATAGAATATACCTTCTCCACTGAATTGCTTTGGCACCTTTGCTGGGAATCGTTTGATTTTATCATATTTGTGGTTCTGTTTCTCGAGTTAGTATTCTCTTCTGTTGATGTTTGTCAGTCCTTTTGCTAATACTTAATACTAAACTGCCCTGATTACTGTTGCTTTAAAATAAATCTTGAAAAATCAGCATTGTGAATCTCCCAACTGAGTTGCTTTTCCATAATTGTATTGGATAGTGTAAATCCTTTAACTCTTCATAAAAGATTTACAATCCACCTTTCTATTGTCAAGATGTGCTCTGATTTTGTGTCTGATTGCAGTGACTCTAGACATCAATTTTAGACCTCCCTTTTATGTTCCAAAATCATGTAACCAGCACTGCAGTATATAATTCCATTCTATGTTGGTAGGTATGTTGAGTGCAAATAAAGAACATCTGCCTCACTGTGACCCTTGGCCCATTCCCTTACTTTTGTTCTTCTAATCTCAGTGTATGACTGAGTTAGAGAAACCCAGTAGTCTTCCCTCCTGTATGTCTCCTTTACTCCTCATACAGAATACGTTACTTCTGACACTTCTGGTCATCAAATGTGTGGGTTTTGTTCCCCCACCAAGCAAGTGTCTACAACACCAGCCAGGCGCCTTACAGTTTAATCCATCTGACACTATCTACCTGGAGATAGCATCAGATCCCACAGGAAAAGGGCCCAGTTCTACAGGACTGCTCCCACCCCACTTCAGATACCAATTCTAAGTCCCAGTTGTCACCTGTGCTTCTTACCTATGGGCTGTACATCTGAGGTTCCCATGATCTCCTCCTTGGGTTTGATTAATTTGCAGAGCAGCTCACTGAACTCAGGGCAAGACATTATCAGTTTATGAAAGGACATGATAAAGGATACAGATGAACAACCAAATGAAGAGATACATCGTGTGAGGTCTGGGAGGATTCTGAGTACAGGAGCTTCTGTCCCCATAGAGTTGGGGTGCATCCCTCTCCTGATTCATGGCTATTATGTTCATCAACCTAGAAGCTCTCTAAATGCATACTTTTGAGGTTTTTATGGAGGAGTCATCATATAGGCATGATCACTTACTTTATTTTCAGCCTCTCTCTCCTCTCTAGATAAGTGATAGGCAGCGCTGAAAGTTCCGAGCTTCCAGTTTTGGCTTGGTCTTTCTGGTGACCAGTGCCCATCCTGGAGCTCACCCACAGTCACCTCATTAAAACAAAAGATGCTCCAGGTCTCTCATCACTTAGGAATTTACAAGGGTTTTCGGAGCTCTGTACCAGGAACCAGGGGCAGAGACCCATATATTCACATGCTCCTCTGCTTATGATGAGGTTACATCTTGATAAACCCATTGTAAGTTGAAAATATCATAGGTAAAAAATGGAGTTAGTACAGCTAACCTACCCACCATCACAGTTTAGCCTAGTCTCCCTTCATCATGCTCAGAACACTTACATTAACCTCCAGTTGGGCAAAATCATCTAACACAAAGCCAGTTTTGTAATAAAGTGTTGAATATCTCATGTAATTTATTAGGCATATCACTTTCATAGCAGCATCATGGTAAAAACTGTAAGTTGATCTATTGGAAGTCAGGGCGTCTGTATATATATATTTTCCCTTACTTCACAGTAGCATCAGCATTTACCCAGTTGCTCATGGTTCTTCTCCAGGTACAGCATACTAAATATAAGGCTCAAAATTTTGATCCTTCCTCTTATAGGTATCAGTTTCCCATTCTTCCTCCCCACTGCTTTACTATGAAAAAGGTCATCGCTCTCTCTGTCTCTCTTTTTAAAATTCAATTCATTTAAAGTAAAAAAAAAACAAAAACAGTTCATCCATTTCTCCCACCCCTCATCGTTAGCCTCTGGCAACCCCCAATCTGTTGTCAGTATGAGCATAATTTTCTTTTTCTTTTTTTTTATTGTAGTTTCCACCTATACGAGAGATCATCCAGTATTTGACTTATTCCACTTTGCATTAATACCTCAAGGTTTTTAAATTGGTCTCCAAGAAAAACTTTCTGCCCTCTTGCAGAGCGTTGCATCTGAAGGACAAGTCTGATGATGCGTACAACCTCCAGTGCTTACCTGTGTCTCTTCGTTGGTTCCCTGTTATCCTGACAGAGAACTCCAAGGGGGTGTGTGTACCCTAGAGAGTGCTCAGGACCGTCCACTAGGGCACAGGAAAAGATTACAGGAAGCCTAGTTATAAAACTATGTAAAACACAAAGACACTAAGCTTTATCATTAGTATATTAATTGAGAGTCTGTGGTATATAATTTAGAAATAAATACAAATACATCAGGGCATGAGAATATTATTTGTGCCAATTGTGTGAGTACCTTCAAAGTGTAAGACAATGATAGGGTCATAGTAGGCACCTGGTATAAAATTTTGTTTATATATTCAACAGTAAGCCTGATACAAATTAGTTTTCAAAAGTGTTTGCCATGTCACCTGTTTCTGAAGCCTTCAGATTGAGTACAAAATATGCTGTTACAGGCCTCAGTGTCCTTCAAGGACGTGACTGTGGAGTTCACCCCGGAGGAGTGGCCATACCTGGGTTCGGCTGAGAGGGCCCTCTACAGAGATGTGATGCTGGAGACCTACAGCCACCTCGTCTCCGTGGGTGAGCAGACCTGACCACCTGACTCCCTCTGAATGCAATTCTCTTTTTCCTTTCCCCTTCTTACTATTGAAATTACTTTTATTTGGGTGTAACTAACAAAGTGAAAGTCAGTAATGTTCAGTGTATAATTTGATGAGTTTTGGAAATGTCCAGGTGATCACCACCACCAAAATAATGACATAAAATACTTTTGTATTTTAAAAAATTTTCCTTATAGCTCTTTGCAGTCATTTTTCTCCTCCCACCCCTCTTCCTGGCTCCTAACATCCTCTGATGTACTTCTGTTGCAATAGTTTTGCTTTTCTAGAATTGTGTATACATGATACAGTATTTAAACTTTTTTCTTGTTTATTTTCCTTAGCTCTTTTTTAAAAAACATTTTATTAAATTTTTTGAGGTGACTGTTAATAAAATTATATAAGTTTACAAGTCTACAAGTCAGTGCTTCATTGGTACTGTATTTTGCCATAATAGTGCACAGTTTTTTGCCCAAATTTGTGAAGGAAAAATAAGGATGTGCATTATATGTGGGTAGTACTAATTCTGTATCTATGTAAATGTTTTTAATTCTTTTTTTATGCTTGTAAGTAAAAGTGTAACTCTAGAAATCAATAAGGATATCCGTGTGCAAAGTCATACCCTGGAATACAATAATTTGTTTTGTTGAACTTAAGACGAACTTGTAACAAGGATGAGTTCTTGGCCATCTTTGATGGGTAAATATTGAAAATTTTTTACCAGTATGTGAAATTTCTTATACCTTGTATCTGTTCTTACGTTTTGTAATTCTTTTTTACATTAGATTTCTTGTACCATGTTAATAAATAAATGCTCAAATTCCTTTATAATACAAAAAACAAGTACTTAAATGGAAACAAAAAGAAATTTGAATAAAGAAATTAAAACGAAAGATTTTTTCCCCTGAAAGTTTGGGCCAAAAACGTGGGTGTGCATTATACACAGCAAAATATGGTATATTGCATTGTGTTCCCCACCCAATCTCAAATCTCCTTCTGTCACCATATATTTGATCCCCTTTTACTCTTTTCTAACCTGTTTTTCCCTCTGGTAGCCACCAAACTGTTTCTCTGAGTTTTTGTTTGTTTGTCTTGTTTGTATTTTGCTTTCAGTTTTATGTCCCACATATGAGTGAAATCATATGGTTCTCAACTTTTTCTGTCTAACTTAGCTTAGCATAATAACCTCAAGATCCATCCATGTTGTCACAAATGGCAGGATTCATCTTTTCTCATGGCCGAGTAATCCATTGTATATGGGTACCACATCTTTATCCAATCATCTATTGAAGGACACTTAGGTTGTTTCCATGTGTTGTCCACTGTGGATGATGGTGTAAGGAACATAAGGCTACATATATCTTTACAGATAAATGTTTTCAGATGTTTTGGGTAGATACTCAGAAGAAAGATTGCTGGGTAACATGGTAATTATAATCTTAATTTTTTGAGGAACCTCCATACTGTTTTCCATACTGGCCATACCAATTTACATTCCCACCAGCAGTGTATGAGGTTTATTTTTCCCCCTGCAGCCCATTTAACACTTGTTATTCCTTTTCTTGTTGATAATAACCATTTTCATGGGTGTGAGGTGATACCTCATTTTATTTTGATTTGCATTTCCCTAATATCTAGTGACCTTGAGCATCTATGTACATATCTGTAAGCCATTTGTCTTGTTCTGTTGGGGTCTTCTGCCCATTTTTTTAATTGAATTGTTTGGGTTTTTTGGTGGTTGTCGTTCAGTTATATGAGTTCTTTATTTATTTTGGATATTGGTGTGTTTTTTTATCAGAGTTGTTGTTTACAGGTATTTTTTCCTGTTGGGTGCCTCTTTTGTTTGTTGATAGTTTCTTTGGCTGTGCAAAAGCTTTTTAGTTTGATATAGCCCCATTCATTTATTTTTGCTTTTATTTCCTTTGCTTTTGAGACAAATTCATAAAATACTCTCTAATGCCAATGTTTTCTCCTATGTACTTTATTGTTTCGGGTCTTATATTGATATTTATCTATTTGATCCATTTTAAGTGAGTTTTGGTGTATGGTGACTAATAGCAGTCTAGTTTCATTCTTTTCCATGTGGTTTTTCAATTTTCTCAGCCCAATTTATTAAAGAGGCTTTCTTTCCTCCATTGTATATTTTTGGCTCCTTGGCTGAAAATTATTTGCCCATATATATGTGGGTTTATTTGTGGGCTGTCATTTCTGTTCCATTGCTCAGTGTGTCTGTTTTTCTGCCAATACCATACTGTTTTGATTATTATCTCTTTGTAGTATAATTTGAATTCAAGGAGTGTTATCCCTCTGGCTTTGTTCTTTTTTACTCAGGATTACATTGGCTATTCAGGGTCTTTTGACCATACAAACTGATGATTTTTTTGTTCTATTTTTGTAAAAGTGCCATTGGGATTTTGATGGAAGTTACATTAAATTTGTATATTACTTTTAGTAATAAGGCCATTTTAACTGTCAATTCTTCCAATCCATGAACACAGAATTTCTTTCTATTTCTTTTTCACTTAACTTTACAGATTCATGCTTGCTTTTGTGTATCTCACCTTTCTTTTATTCCTAGGTATTTCTTTGCATGCGTATACCACAATTTCTTATCCATATACCAGTCAATAGAACATAATTGTTTCTCATTTGTGCTGTTAAGAGGAGAGCCACAATATCCATTTAAGTACAAGTTTTGTATAGACATTTGTTTTCATTTCTCTTGTGTAAATATTCCAAAGTATGGTATTATTGTTCACTTTATAGGAACCTGCCTGATGTTTCCAAAGTGGCTGTGCCAGTTTGCATGCCTTTTATCAGTTTCTGATAGTTATGGTTGCTCTACAGCCTCACCAACAAGTGGGATTGGAGGTCATTAAGCTTTTCTTTTTGTGTTTTGTTTTGTTTTTAAAGATTTTATTGGGGAATTGGGGAAGGGAACAGCCAAGTTGTTGTCCTTCAATCTTAGTTGTGGAGGGTGCAGCAAGCTCAGCTCCCAAGTCCAGTCGCACCGCACAGCTCAAGGTGCTGTGTTCAGTTTTAATAGTTGCGGGTGGGGTAGCCACAATCCCATGCGGGAGTCAAACCAGCAGCCTCATTGTTACGAGCTCACGCTCTATCTCCTGAGCCACCTGGGCAGCAACTCAGCTCAAGGTGCTGAGTTCAGTCTTAGCTGCAGTTGGGCATAGCCCACCTTCTCTAACAGGCAACCTTGTTGTTAGAGCACGTTCTCTCACCAGCTGAGCCATCCTGCCACCTATTGGCAGCTCAACTTGGGCGCAGTTCAGTGGCCCATTGGGAATCAAACCGGTGACCCTGTTGCTCAGAACTTGCACTCTTGAGCAAGCGCATAACCAACTGAGCCACTCGGCCGGCCTTCCTTTTGTTTTTAATAAATAACAAATATTTATTTCTCACAGTTGTGGAGGCTGGAAGTCCAGGATCATGGCCCCAGTAGATTCAATGTCTGGTGGAGGCCTACTTCTAGGTTGTAGGCTGCCAGCTTCTCATTTTGCGCTCACATGGTGGTCATTACATTTTTTTGGTTATTATTTGTTTTTGAATATTCTAATGGATGTCTTTGTATCTTACTGGGTTTTAATTTGTATTTTCCTGATGAATAATGAATTGGAACATCTTTTGAAGTACTTTTTGGCCATGCACGTATTTTGTTTCTTGAAGTTCGTTCAAACCTTTACCCCCTTTTTTAAGAAACTTTTTTTTGTTGTTAAATAGCTATATTGAATGAAAGATTTCTTTATATAATCTCAATACAAGACTATTACTAGATAAATATCTTATTTTCTTAACAGTGTCATGGAAGAGCAGAATTTTTTACTTGTTTTTTTAATATATTGTTAGTTTTTCTTTTATATTTCATGGTTTTTGTGTCTTTTTAAATAAATTTTACCTTATCCAAGGTCACTAAAATTGCCTCCTGTGTTTTCTTGAAGAATTTTTATAATTTTCCATGTAGGCCTATGATTCACTGACTGTGAATTTTTTTATATGCTGTGAAATAAGGGTTGTGGTTCACTTTTTCCATATCTGTGTCTTAGTTATATTGACACCATTTATTGGAAGGATTATTATTTTTCCATTGAACCACCTTGGCATCTTTATCAAAAACAAATTGACCATAAATCTGTAGTTCTATATCTGGACACTATTCTGTTTACTGGTTCTGTGTGTCTGTAACACACCTTCTTGATCATGTAGCTTTTTGGAAAGTTATCAAATAAGGATTTAGTTCTCCAAATACATTTTTTGATTGAAAATTATTTTGATTATTATACACCCTTTGTCATTTCCATATTATTTTAGAATTTCTAATTTCTTTTGAGTTTTGCTTGGAATTCTGGCTGAGATAGTCTTCAATCTTTAGAATGGTCTGGGAAAGATTTACATCATAATAATATTGAATCTTTGATCCATTAAAGTGACAGTATTTCTCTGCCTTTTATTTAGGTCTTTTTTTTTTTTTTCAATGATTTGTAGCTTTTCATATGTATATTTTATACATATTTTGTAGATGTATTTATGAAATTGATGATGCTATAAATGGTATGTAATTTACAACTTCAATTTCCAATTGTTGGAAGTGTATTGAAATCCAGTTGATTTACTTATAGCCAAGGATATTTTTTATATACACAATTATATTATCTGTGAATAAAGATATGTTACTTCTTCATTTTTAAACTGTATGCCTGTTATTTCTTGTTGTTTAGTCAGTGGCTAGAGTCACCAATATAACATTGCATACAAGTGGCGTGAGAAGATATTCATGTCTTGTTTCTAATATTAGAGGTAAAGCATTCATTCTTCACTATAACATAATTAATTAGCTGGATTAATAGTAGGTTTTAAAAGCAGCCCTTATTCATTTGAGAAAGTTCTGTAGTCAGCTGAAAGTTTTTTTCATTCAGTGATAATCATCACCACTGAATTTGTCAGATGTTCTTTATTGAGATAGTCATATGG